TAGATAGATAGATAGATAGATAGATAGATAGATAGATAGATAGATAGTTGGATGTAAATGTAGATGTAGATGTAGAGATATAGTTATAGATATAGTTATAGATATAGATAAGCCTCCTTTTTGGTATGCTTATTTCAAATCTTGTTTTCACTGGTTGAATTAGAAAGAAGTTCAGGAGTTGAGACCAAACAAATAATTCCATGCTAATTCCATCAAATGTCCCAGTTTCTCATCTCCTTTTTCTGCAGGATTCTGTTGGAAGAGCTGCAACCAGAAGAGAATTAATGAAGGATGGGACACCTATCAACCATTAACACTAAAATTTGCTTTGACTGTTAGGAAAAGAATTGGTATTGATGTTTACCACAAAAATTGTAAGTGTGGAAATTGGTCATATGTCTCTTTTTTTCAGTGCTGTAACTTTGAATGGTCACTAAATGAATGGTTGTAAGTTGAGGACTATTTGCTGTAAAGAGAAAAGATGCAATCTAAAATTACATTGATGTAATGAGCTTGAAGATTGGGACAAATACCATAAGTAGAAGGCCTGCTGCAGTAAGACACTTTTCGTTTGGATCGGGAAAAATCAAATGCTTAATACAGGGTTGAGGAGACTTGGACTGATGGCAGTGTGCATGAGAACAACAAGTAAATCACCAGCTGAACATCAGCAATAGTAATATACAAGCAGTTCTCAGTTTACAACTGTAATTGAGCCTGGAAATTGTGGTCATAAATCATGCCAATTGGATGTTGCAAATGCTAATAAATGCAGGCTGGTTGCTGAGTGTCCAAAATGTGATCATGTTACTGGGGTGATGCTGGAGAATGGAACTTTGACACTGGTTCATAAATAGCTTTTGGAGGGTCTGTTGTAACTTTGGACAGTCACTAAGTGATCAGTCATAAGTCAAGAACTACCAGTAATGCATTAGCTAAAGGTTAGTGCGATCTGAGGCTGCCTTAATAGAAACATTATATCTAGACCAATGATGACTTGCTTGTGATTTAATCATCATTAAAACCCCAGGAAACAAATAAGTATGAATGTAAGTTCTTTTACAAAGTTTTATAAAGTTTATAATATTTTATTTCATATTTAGTCATTTATAACATTTCCATTATTTTTACACTGAAAAAGGATGATTAAGTTAGATAAAAGATGTCCTAGAATGAAAGCATTGGAAAAATGTTTTCATTACCAATCATTAGATATATTGTTTACTTATTGGCTTACATGAAATGTTTATGTCTCATGTGTCATTGTAAGCATAATAATGTATTGGATTACAATAAAATACAGCATAATAAAGCAAATTAGATATCAGGAATTAAAATTTGACTGCTCTGTCTTGGGCTCTTCCCTTTAAATAAATTTAATAAGTGTCCAATTATTTCCAAGCAACAATAATGTTGGCAAGTTCTCAAAACAATTATTTGGGTTTTGGCCATAGTGTCAACTTCGATACTCTTACACTGCACTGAATAAACATGCCCTATTTGTTAGAGGTACACATACACTTTAAACTGCAAGTTATCCGGGAAGGTTGTTAAGTATCTTGTTTGGTTCTCTGGTATTTCAAAATAATCTAAGACAAGTTTTTTCTTTTCTTGGGCAAGAATGTAAACCAAGCCCTGAAAATTGTCAGAATCACCATAACAATCCTTCAGTCCTGTTCTAGAAGGTGGCCCTAGTAGATACCACACATGATGTTCTCAAAGTTATTACCATTTGATGGGCAGTTAATCAACCCAAAGCAGCATTTTTCTTCTGCCTTAGAGAAATTCTGAAATATTTCCTTTGGGGCCATGACATTACTGGGGTTGGTTGGTGGTTTCAGTTAATAAATTTTCCAAACTTCAAATAGTTCAAGGTGTTTCACACAGAGTGTTCCAATGAAGCAAGCTTTTTTTGTGTGTGGTGTAGAAAGTTAGCACCTGCCCCTCTCCTAGAAGAATGGAATATTTTGAGAAATATTTAAAAAGCAGAATATTATATTTCCCTGGATGAGAAATGGAGAAACAGGTTCTTGGAAAACAGCCCCCACCTGTCTCAATAGCCCTCAGCAGATATCAGCAGAGATAGCGAGATAGCTAGTCTATTCCTAAGCAAATACCCTCACCCCAGATCCAACAAGGATAGGAATTGCCCAAAGCCCCTTCATTGCATCATCTCAGTTGCACCACCCCCAGCAAGCTTTAACCAAACTTAGCTCAGACAAACTCCTAGGGTTTGTCCATGGCCCCATGGAGGTCAGACAACAGCCAACCGAATATATGTTCTTGCACAGGAACAGGAAGTCCAAGTGCAAAGCCCAAGATAATGTATAAATACCCCCCTCTCTCAACTCCATGTGGTCAGTTGCACCAGAACCATGGGCTTGATGGTCCTGCTTCACCGTTAAACCATTTTTCCAATTAACCTCCCTGTTTCCACTGTCTTTCTCCTGGCTTGGAGCTGAACCAGATGGATATTTTTTCCAACAGGGGTCTGAAGTACCCCTGGAAACCTTAGGAATGCTTCCAATTCAGAGATCATTCCCCCCCTCCGCCCCCAGGAGAAACAGCAGGTGGTATGGCGTGATCCAGTGGGAACAAAACATTTCAGAAATCTTTAGAAGGTTCCACTCCTAATCCGATGAATCTTGCCCTCACTTGTTTTCTGATTGTTAAACGGAGCTTGTGTTTTTTTTCTCCAGTTCATTTACCAGTTTGTTTCCCATGTCAGTCTGCACCCACCCAGGGTGCAATGTAACGCACAGGATCTCATCTTTGGCAAAGTGCATGGACTGGCATCGAGTCAGCATGTTCAGAGCCGACTGAGAAGGAGACAAAAGAAGGAGGAAATCAATGAGTGGTTCATCTGAGGATTCAGGGATGCCAGCCCTTTCACGGGTAGCTTCTGTAACTGAAAGTCTACCTTGGTCAATACGTTGAACACCCCACAAAGGCCTGCAAAAGATAAGAACATTAACGTATCGGTAAAGATATGCTATCATCTCCTCCCACTTGTTCCTCCCAGGTATGACTCACTTCTTCTCCTCCCTCAATCCTGTTGGCAGTGGTTCCATATTGATTGACAGAAGGAATGTCTTTTCAGGGCCTTAGGGGAACCTGCTAAGTAGACATTCTCTGTCCATGTTTGATGAAAGGTATTACACCTGGAAAGCTTAAGGCTCCTCCTAACCTCATATTTTTTGATAGACACCCCGGAGTATTTTCAGCACTCTCAAAGTCCTGCTTGTTGAGTTGACCATCTCCTCCTTGGCAGGAGGGAGGGAGGGAGGGAGGAGGGAGAAAGGAAGAATTTTCACACCTGTGAGCTATGACAATTTATAAAAAATTTCCAATATTTTGCTTTTACCTTAAGAAAACTTTCCTACTATCTACTAATTACAATAGCACTTAAGATTTATATACTGCTCCATAGTGCTTTACTGACAAGGTTCTTTGAGAGGTTTACAGTGTAAGCATATTGTACCAGGAATCTGTGTTCTCATTTTAATGTGTTTGTTACAGTGCTTTACAAATACTAAGTGTGCCTGACATTTATATCAAGTTTAAGGCACTCATTGCTCTATTTGTTGCACTGTTTTCTCAATTCTTAAGGAGGGAAAACATGCAAACGGTTCATATCTTTTCATGTTCTGCTTTGGAATGTGGGAGTTTGGAAAGGTTTTCCTGTGGGCCATGAAGTCCCCTTTCAGGACCTCTCTTTAGAAACAACAAGTTGGATATTGCTTGTTTCTTACAAAAAACACATGGTTGAATTGCATCCAGTCTCCCGCCTCCACTTACACTGACAGAAGCTCCTTGCCAAAACTACGGTCACAAGCCACAGTCATCCCCCTCTTCAAAAAGGGAGACCCCAGCCTAGTTGAAAATTACAGACCAATCTCCTTATGCTGCGTCACCTGTAAAGTCATGGAATCAATTATTAGCCAATCCATCATCCTCCACTTAGAGACAAACAACCTACTCTCTAATAAACAATTTGGTTTCAGAAAAAAACTATCCTGTAATCTGCAACTCTTACACTGCAAAAACATATGGACTACACAACTCGATCAGGGCAAAGCAATAGACACAACCTACATAGACTTCTGTAAAGCCTTTGATTCAGTGGTATACAACAAACCACTCCTAAAACTAAAATCTTACCGTATCTCTGGACACCTGCATGACTGGATAGAAGCATTCCTGTCAAACAGACAACAAATGGTCAAAATTGGGAACGTCCTGTCAAATTCTGTACCTGTCAACAGTGGTGTCCCCCAAGACAGTGTCCTAGGACCAATTCTCTTCATACTCTACATAAATGACCTCTGTGATCGTATTAAGAGCAACTGCGTCCTCTTCGCTGATGATGTAAAGCTATTCAACACCACAGACAATACTGCTACCCTTCAAAAAGACCTCGACTATGTATCAGAATGGTCAAGCAAATGGCAACTTCAAATCTCAACAAACAAATGCTCCGTCTTACATATTGGCAAAAAAAATCAGAAAATAAAATACAGGCTGAATAGTCAAGAACTTGTTGATGATCCAAACTCTGTCAAGGACCTTGGAGTACTCATCTCTAATGATCTAAGTGCTAGAGCCCACTGTAACTACATAGCCAAAAA